CGATTTGATTCCATATCGATTATTTTGGCTATATATCAGGTACAGTACATGCCAAATTTTTTCAAGGAAAAACTAAATCTCTCAACTAATGCTGTAAAATATACATGAGAGCCAGTTGGTACTACATTACTTTAATATTGAAAGTTAAAATTGACTGATTTGTAGTACAACTGCTAAAATTACATATAATGTGTATAATAACAAAGTTACAATTACATAATAATATTTCTACTTCAGTTCGTTTTCTTTTAAAAATATAAACATAATGGTGGCTGTCAAAAACTTGATGGATTTATTCAAACAAATTAAACATTGAAGAACAGAAAAAATTATAATGAATATGCTATATGGTGCATATACTGTATTTAGCAAAATGCCCCTCTCTACAGTTTATTTTTCTATATGATTAACGAGTTTATGGTCACCGAATATGTTTTTCTGAGGTTAATGTGACGTTACATGACATTGTTTACAAGCCGTTATATTTTCATCTTTGCGCGGCTGAAACACTGATTGAGAGATTACATGAGACTTTGTAAAGTTGTACTCTTTCTTTTAACTTACAGTACCTTCGGATGTTTAGTCATGTTTATTTTGTGCTGAAACTGGTATTAATGTGGAGGAGATGATTAGTTCACGTGCGCCTTGTGCTGCTGCGTCTGTTGATCTGAGGCGCTACAGCGATCTGTCACTCCACATTAAACAGCGCCAAAACGGCATTTATTGTTTGAATACTGCAATACAATGGACACAATTTGAAATCTGAGACTTTGTTTCATATTAAAAGTACCAAAGCACAATGCTTATTGCGATTTATTGGATGGGAAGTGCCCTTTAACGTTCCGTCCATTAACTGACAACAGGCTAGACTACCGTATTGACCCGAATATAAGATGATGTCTTTTTCTTGGAAATACATCTGAAAAAACGCGGTCGTCTTATATACAGGGTCTAGACTTTGACATGTCAATAATACACCCACAACAATAGGTGGCGCCAAATTAGGGCTGGATAATAATTCAGTATCAATATGTATCGCAATATAATTTTTCTCAATAATGGTGATATGATTTTTAAACACATTTCCGATATTTTGATATACATTACCAGTGTTTCCCATACATTGATTAATTTGTGGCTTTTGACTTCGTTGAATAAACATGAGCACTGCACGTTTCAAAATCAAAACGCATCACGGGTGTTTTATATGAATGTATCTCTGAAGGGAACCGACTGTCTTCAGAATAGTTTAGATGGCATTTTTATCTGATAAAGTAGCGTTCATGAGCGGAGGAACAAAAGAGAAAGAAAACCTTACAGCTGTATGAGTCGTGACTGTCACGTTAGCCTGATGGGACCAAACTCATTTTGTGATTTTAAAACGCAAGACAGTACCCAGATTTGAAGACTTCAGACATCAGATTTAACTTCTACTCTTAATAAGATTTTGGTAGGCTACTATTAGATGGATCGCCTAAATGTCCTAATTCAGATGGGCTACCTGTTTTTTTTTTAAGTGTATTTTTTTTTTATGTGATTGTTGTTACATTTTACCAGATTTTACCATACTTTCAAAACAAAAATTAAAATAGGAAAAATATGGAATATGAAAATAATTGAAGACAAAATGTGTTTTACTGAAAAAACAAGATTTGGCTTTTAAAAAGCCTTTTTCCAAAAGGTACATCTGGAAAAAGGCGGGTCGTCTTATAATCAGGGTCCTCTTATATTCGGGCCAATACGGTAATCGATTCTTGGGATTTAAGAATCGATATCGTTCTGTAAAAATGAGAATCGATTAATATCGAGATATCGATATTTTTTACCCAGCCCTAAATAATATGTAATAATAATAATAATAATAATGTAATAAATGTAATAATATTTCACAATATGACAGTTTTTTTCTGTATTTACAATCAAATAAATGAAGCCATTTTAAAATCGTACTGACCCCAAACTTTTGAAAAGCAGTGTTATATTTTAGAACAAAACTAGATTTCCATTTTCTACAGATATTTCCATAACTTTTTAAGATTTTCTAAATTTCCATTACTTTTCCATGGATGAAAAATCACAATTTTACAATTCTATACTTTTTCAGGTCTTCTACGACCACAGAAACCTTATTCATTCATTCATGTTGTCCTGTTGTATGAATGGAGTCTCATGTCCTGTGGTTTCACTCAGCCTCAGCTGTCATAGCATAACCACTGTGTTTGATAACCACAATCCACTCTGGCTGGCTCATCAGCCATGTTCAGATCGGTTGCTAGGCAGCACACTCAAACTGTCAGTTTCTAAATATGGGATGAGCCAGTCTGTCATCAAAGACAAATCAAGTCCAGCATGTGGTCACTCACGACTTACAGAAAAACAAGACAGAGACCCTGTCTTGGGTAATGACCTCTCACCCCCCCCACACACATGCATATAATGCTTACTCACAAGGCTAATACACACCTGTAGACTGTTATACAATGAATACACAACCACCAGTGTTGTTCAATTCATGAGTCTCATCAAAAGCAAGAAAATGTCATGCACAGGAATGGGTGTGAAAAGACAGGTAGTGTGACTAAGCATTCATGTAAGCCAGTCAGATGACGCCAGTGAGATCCACTGAGATCCAAGTGTTATGGCGCATCTTAATACAACGACACAAAGACTCTGCATTGCTAAAGACTAAAGAGAATAAATGTGTGCTCCATCAGGGACTGATCTAGGAACAGGCAGATGTATGTAAACTAAGCCAGCTTTTAATTTATATACAATCAAAACCTTTGATTAATACATAAATACACTGACAACTTTCGTCAATATGCCAACAGACGCCAGGACAGGGCTTGGATGAGGTCGCCATGCCAACAGGGCAAGGGGTCCAAGTATAGATGATCTGATGAGTCAGGAAAGAGCACTATGATTATGCTAATGATAAAATCTGATAGTGGTCAGCCAACAAGACCATCTGTCTCTGCTGGGGCTCAGGGGGAAACTCTGAAGTCAGACTGAAGCGTTCAACCCAGTGTCACTGCAGAGGAAAAACACAATGGTCTGATCACAGAGACAATCGTGCATGTGTGAATGTGTTTGTTTGCCTGACATCACTGCCAGTCAGGGATTTCTGAAATAGCTGGTGCTTTAGAAACACTGTATTCTTTTTAGAGGAACTAGAGTTTGACGGAAAAAATACATGAAAAAGTCCTCCATTGCCATCACTTAACACTAATTAAAATCTCTAGCCCTAAATTATGATAGCAAATTATCAATGAGAAAGAAAGGATGAGCAAGGTGGGACAGGCTTATATTTGCTAAAAGTCTCTCTGAATATAAGGTTTATCTCTTCTGACTATAGGAAGATAACAGTTTTTGTTCAAATAAATAAATAAATTAATTAAATGAAATTAAAAACTGTTTCAACATCCATCTGAGGACATTTACACACTAGAGGATAAATAGTGTTCAATTAGACAAGTGCCTTGTCCAAATACCCACACTTGCGGTCTTTGCACTTGATCACTTGACTACTTATATGACGTATTTCCACACTTATACACTTATAGTGTTGTAAAAACACAAGTGTTTACAGAGTTTTAATTTTTATTTTCAATACTTTGCATTTTAAAATAAACTTCTAAATGTCTGTTCAGTAGTCCCTATAACAGAAATGACACAATTTAATTTATGGTGCTTCTAATATATATACTCATCTTTGCACCAATAAAACATGCAGCATTTTGTTTTACTACCAAATTATATGTAATATCTAATTATTATATTAATATTTAACTTACATTGGAAATGTTTTCGTGACCTCTCGCGAGATCTCGGCAAAAAGTCTCACGATTTATTTCCAGAACATGATGCATGATGGTATACAGTAAGCCTCGAATAGTGCTCCGGAGCAGTATTCGAGATAGTGTGGATTTAGTGTGCGTTAAGGGCACTGCGCTTTGCCGTTTTTAAGACCTGGGACAGTCTTGTGCACTTACTTCCTGTCGCGCGCACGCGCTCTCAAGTGGCCAAGACAGCAAGTGTGGGTATTTGGACAAGGCAAGTGTTTCACAACCTGGGGGGTCATGACACCCACCAGGGGTCGCCAGAGCTACTTGATTATAGGTAAACTACATTTAGACTTAACTACATTTTGAAAATAAATGAAATTAACTGAAAACACATTAATTTTTTAGAAAAGAAGAATGTGTCCTGTAAGAACAACCAATGAACATCTGGACAAACAAACATGCATCGAAGGATGGAAAACGGCTAATGCACATCTAATCTAAATTGACTAAATTGCACTGGTTAGACATAGGATAGGTTAGAATAATCTAATCAAGAAATAATTCTCAGCAATTTACACACCTTGTAATTAGAAAGCAGTACTGGTGCACTGAGTAATCACACAGTATCCACCAAACCAATTTTTCAATCTAGTAAAGCCTCAAACAATCCAGTACATATAATTAAAGGCATAGGTCACCCAAAAATGAAAATATTGTCATTATTTCCTCACTGTCATGTCATTCCAAACATGTATGACTAATTTTCTACACAAAAGAAGATATTTCAAAACTAAATGGGGTCCAAACAACATTGCACCCCAGTTACTTTTTAATGTATGAACTTATTTTTTTGAGCTCCACAGATAAAAGCCGATCATACAGGTTTGGAATGACATGGTGGCGAGTAAATCATAACAGAATTCTTATTTTTGGGTGATCTATCTCTATACTAAAACATTTAGAAATTTGAAACGAACAACATTTCTAAAATCTTCTAAAACGTCTCACAACTTTTCACTGTGTTGCATAAACTACAATACAATTACAGAGAGAATACAGCCCTATAGGGTGTTCAAGCTTATTACCAGGAGCACAACAAATAATCTGGTGTAAAAAATGGAAATTTTAAGAAGTGAGCCTAAGTAGTAAAATAATAGAAATAGCACGGCAAAACAGCAGGGGAGTTCATATTATGAGCAACTACTGACCACTCACCTTGTCAAAGAACTCGTAGAGTCGAACAGTCTTGTCAATTTTATCCTTGGTTTCCTCCACTCGCTGGGAGAAATCATGTAGATGGACCCAGAATGAGCGTACTTTCACCTCATACACCTGCAGCTCTGCAGAAGAGACGTCTTCCCACTTCTCTAAGCGCTTGAGGAGAGCTTCACCGCTCTTACAGTGCTCCTGAACACACACACACACACACACACACACACACCCAGAATTACGCAGTGAACTGGTATGAAAACAGAGGGTGCGAATGAGGTGACTACATTTAAACAGTCACAAATGTTCTTGAAGCCTAAATTGACATTATAAAACAAATATTTGACACCTGCTGTAAAATATTACCTCTCAGTTCAAATAAAAGCATTAAAAACAGAAAGACAGAGAACTTCAGGGGAGTTCATATTATGAGCAACTAATGACCACTCACCTTGTCAAAAAACTCGTAGAGTCGAACAGTCTTGTCAATTTTATCCTTGGTTTCCTCCACTCGCTGGGAGAAATCATGTAGATGGACCCAGAATGAGCGTACTTTCACCTCATACACCTGCAGCTCTGCAGAAGAGACGTCTTCCCACTTCTCTAAGCGCTTGAGGAGAGCTTCACCGCTCTTACAGTGCTCCTGAACACACACACACACACACACACACACACACCCAGAATTACGCAGTGAACTGGTATGAAAACAGAGGGTGCGAATGAGGTGACTACATTTAAACAGTCACAAATGTTCTTGAAGCCTAAATTGACATTATAAAACAAATATTTGACACCTGCTGTAAAATATTACCTCTCAGTTCAAATAAAAGCATAAGGCATTTGCTGAGAAAATATGAGGGCTATGCAAAAAAAAAAACATGCAGATGCTGTGGCAGGAGGTAAAAAGGGCTGTGTAAAACAAGTTTAATAAGAGTTGACATACATATGCAGCTGTGTAGAAATCTCTGAAGACAGTCTGCTTATGATGTAACTGCTCCAAGGAATCTTCCAGTTCACTCAGTGTCTGCAGACGAGACTCGCCCACCTCTTCTATCCACTGACTCACCTAAGAGACGACATATACATACAGACAGTTATTCCTGCAACAGTCCAGCTTTACTCTGTTAGTTTCACCCAGAATGACACATATTTATACTCTTTGTTCTCTAGGGCAGTAGACTTTGGCAGTAGACTGAAACATAAGCACACAAACACATCAATCACGTGTCTGCCATCTGATACAGATGCTATGGTGCTAGATTACACTTTCTCATGATGTGCATGAATGTGTGTGTGTGCTTGTCTGATCTGTTTCAGCAGCTTCCACTATATCTATGCCAACAGGATTTTCCCCCCTCTTTCTGCCTGCTGGGCTCAACCATCCATTAAAACAATCAAATGAATAAATCACCAGGAGGTCAGTGTGTAGCTTAGTAAGGCTGTTTGTGAGTCAGTGTGCTTGTGTGCAGCACTTCAGTACAGTATTCACTATTTTTCAAGTGTTACAGGTAAATTCACAAGAAAAAACACTGCTAAGAATAAGCCTTGAAGTCACAAACTCCAAAAGTCAGAGACTTTTCTAATAAGAAATGTATTTCCTTAACAAATTTGTCTTTCCGCGTAACAGAAAAAACGTAATTAAAAATGTACATTTGTCTCATGCTTGTCTGATCTGTTTCAGCAGCTTCCACTATATCTATGCCAACAGGATTTTCCCCCCTCTTTCTGCCTGCTGGGCTCAGCCATCCATTAAAACAATCAAATGAATAAATCACCAGGAGGTCAGTGTGTAGCTTAGTAAGGCTGTTTGTGAGTCAGTGTGCTTGTGTGCAGCACTTCAGTACAGTATTCACTATTTTTCAAGTGTTACAGGTAAATTCACAAGAAAAAACACTGCTAAGAATAAGCCTTGAAGTCACAAACTCCAAAAGTCAGAGACTTTTCTAATAAGAAATGTATTTCCTTAACAAATTTGTCTTTCCGCGTAACAGAAAAAACGTAATTAAAAATGTACATTTGTCTCAGAAATGAATTTTAACTTCGTAGAACTCTTAATCTTTATAAATCTACATTGAACCTGTATTATCATGTAAGGTATGATAGTGTATATTTATAGAGGATATTTATAATAAAGTACGAAAAATAAATCAAAATGATCTATTTTCAAAGCCAATACAAGAAATGGTTACATTAAAGAACAGGTACCATTTGCTGAGTCTCAGATGCAGCTGTTATTGTCATCTGTCATGAATGCAGTTCATAATAGCGAGTGCAAAACTTCAGTCCTCACCTCTCTGAATCCCTCCTCCAGAGTCTTGAACTCCATTATGAATTCCAGTTCCTGTGTGCATTTGTTGGACAGCATCACCAATCTGTGAACCAACTCGTCCACTTGATTATACAGACGGCCCGCATTCTCAATGGCATCTCTAAAACACACACCAACAGGATTTCCTTAGCATATTAAATTGAGTCTACATATTGTCTTGAGTTTGTTTCTAATCCCTGAGAGAAACTTCAAGCATCTGAGCTTGGAGAAAACGCTGACTGCAGGACTCACATCTCATTGGCGGAGACATTCTTGTGGAACTCTCATCTCATTGGCTAAAACAGTCTTAGAGAATGTATTGATTGGACAGGGCTTTTAGAGATTGAATGTAATTAGATGTGCAAATTGGTTTTACAGAACAGTCTGGCAATGGGAGACAGTATGGAACAGAGCTGGAGTGTGTGTGTGTGTGTGTTGTATGAGAAAAGAAAAAGACTATAAATGAGAGAAACTATGCGAGAAGTCATTGACTGTATACTGTGATATGCGTAGAAACAGTATGTGAGGAAATATGCATTTCTTTAAATGCATAATTGTGATGAAATATGAGTAAAGATGCATTTTGTGTTTATGTGAATTGCCATACACATTGGCAGAGCACTGTGCACAGCAGCAGAGGCTGATGTCTACTGGATGACTTCATCACCGCTGTAGTTCACTTACACAATACTGTATTGTGCTCTAACATTTCCCCTCAATGATATGCCAACTAACTCAGTCAAAGAGTGATCCACACTCTGATCCAAACATAACCCCAATGTCAATATTAGAATAGAGAACTATTTTTGAAGAGTTCCACATCCCATTTTAACTGCCAAAATACTTATCAAAGCAAAAAAGGCTTAGTAATGCAGACAGACATGTGGCACATGCATAATAATACAGTCACACTGAACTGTGCCCCCTGCTGTTAGATACACATATTCGCATTTTACAGGGGTCATATAATGCTATTTTAAAGATCATTATTTTGTGTATTTGGTGAAACAGAATATGTTGACATGCTTTCATTTTTAAAAAACACATTATTTTTCAAATACTGTACATTATTGTAGGTCCTCTATGCCCCGCCTCTCTCAAACGCTTCGTTTTCTACAAAGTCCCGCCTTCCGACAAGCGCAGTCTGCTCTGATTGGCCAGCTGACCCAGTGCATTGTGATTGGCCGAACACCACAAGCACTCGTCGGAAATGTAACGCCCCTTACCATAATCGCGAGCTTCATCTTTCAAAATAAATGTAAAGACAGTAAATAATGTCATTAGTTTTACCATCAGTTCAAGCCCGAAAGGGGAACAGAATCGCGTGACAGACACAGTGATGAAGCTGGTATGTGTTTGCAGTACACAAGCCACGGTTAAGACAGCTGACTCCACTGTGATGTGACCCCCTCTCTCTCTTTCTCTCTCTCTCTCGATCTCTCCAAATAAAGTGCTTTTGCTTTCGCCTAGAAACACACAGCGTCTCCCTGACATGCTGCTTCAACACTAACTGTGGTTACTGAAACCACACCTTCTTTCTTTGCATGAACATTTGGACGGCATTATGCAAATATTTCCACATAGTGAGGTAGATATGTGGGGGCGTGTTAGAACGAGCCGTTT